GGGGGTGACCCCCTGCCAGCCCAGCCACGAGGCCCACAGACCAAACTGCATGGAAGACAGCAGCAAGAGTGTATGTAGCGGGGAGGGGGACTCATTGACCCCATGCTCTATACCCAACTCCTAACTGTCGCTCTGCAGGCCAGGGAAGGGCACACTAAGGCTGGAGGCCAGTCACACACATGAGAGCCGGTGCACACCCATAGCTGGCTGATTCTCTGTAGTGACTGTTATGCCCAACACCTGCAAGAACCCAGGTTTGCACAGAGGCTTTTGTTTCTCATAAATTGACCTTTAGCTGCTGTTTCCAAACAGCTGAAGGAGAAACAATGTAATCAGCTCCAGGTCTGCACTACATCAACCTGATTCTCAGTTGAGCGTGTTTGTCCTCAGACTGCGCATGCCTCCGTCTAATTGGTCCAAATTGGTTCTAAAACATCTGAAGCTAAAGTTGCGTGAAGGTCTCTTTGACCGCTTCCGCTCATCTCCGCAAAGAACTTTAGGGCTTCCCAGGGCTTTTGGCAGTGACAAGCATCTCTCAGTCCAGCCTTTGACCAACCAGAGCCTCCAGAAGCTATACTGGGGCGCGGAAGGACACCACAAAGGGTGAAAGCCCCACGTGTGGGGGAAGGGGCAAATGCCCCTGCTCAGCCCCGCCTAGGTGCCCCTAGCCTGAACCACCTATCTGGGGCACAAATGCAGCCATCAGGGGACAGGAAAACCCTAAAGCTTTCCCAGGGCCCTCAACTACCAATGTGTCCCCATAATCTAAAAGTCACATGAAAGGTAGGGCAAGGTGGGGTCAGAAATCTTTCCAGGGCAGGTCCCTCATGTCACCTCAGACACAGCACCAGGTGGCTCAGACACCCTCCAGCATTGTCTGAACACTCAGAGCCAGACCAGAATCCAAACCCTGTCCTCCCAGCCACCCCAGATCCTATGCGTCCCATTTCCTGCACCCCCGGCCCTCCCATGCCTGCCCTCCTCTTCCCTCCCACCCAGTCAGCCCTTCCCACCCTCCGACCCCTGAGCTGGTTCTGCATGTCTGCTCCTGCCTTCTTCTCACCCATACCCAACACACACACACAGCCCTGCTCAGAGACCCAGCTCTTCTAGCTGCTCCCACAGCCTGCACCCTGCCCCCAATGACCTCACCATATGTGACTCTGTTTCCTTGCCTGGGATCAGGAAGGAGTCTGTCCTGTCTATTGTGGTCCCCGTGCCCAACATAGCTACTTCTCTGCCCACCTACCTGGGCGACAGCAAACTGGCGGTAGAAGGCCGAGTTGTCTACATTCAGCTCCAAGTCTACGTCCTGGAACTCCTCGCAGCTAAAATAGCATAATGCCAAGTGGCTAGTGACTTGAGAGTCCCGAGCCAAAAGGCAGCAAGCACCAAGCTGGGGAGCAGAGAATACTTCCCCCAAACAGTGAGGGGTGTTTTATGTCAACTTAAAACAAGCTAGTCACCTGAGGGAACCTCAACTGAGAAAATGTTTCCGTAAGGTCGGGCTGCAGGCAAGCCTGTAAGACATTTTCTTAATTAGTGATCAATGGGGAGGATCTAGACCAGTGTGGGAGGGGCCATCCCTGGCTGGTGGTCCTGGGCTCTATAAAAAAAAGCAGGCTGAGCAAGCCATGAGGAGCAAGCCAGTAAGCCGCTCCCCTCCATTGCCTCTGCATCAGCTCCAGCCTCCAGGGTCCTGCCCTGCTTGAGTTCCTGTCCCGACTTCCTTCAGCGATGGACTATGCTGTGGGAACGTAAGCTGAATAAACCCTCTCCTCCCCAAGTTGCTTTGGCCATGGTGTCTCATCACAGCAACAGGACAAAGGGAGCAGTCCCCAAAAGGGACTAGAGACAGATGCCTACAGGAACTCCACTGGGAGTCAGCTTTGACCCTCACTGGGTGGGACGAGACAGGCTTTGAGGAAGGGGCCCTGAACACAAGAGGCAGCCTCATCTACCTTGTCACTGGCTGGCTGGCACTCGGGGGTCACAGGCTGGTCTGCCTAGTCCCTCAGTTCCCCAGTCTGAGATGGAAGTGACATCCCCAAGTCACATTGCACAGTGGTCCTGCCCTACTGTCATGGCTCTGTGAGGGCAGGCAGCCTCTACGCACCAACCACAGACTGCCACTGCCACAGTGGCAACAGGAGCTGAAATCAGCAAGCGAGGCAGGCCAGCTCAACTATAAAGTCCTGCATGATGCCTCTTGGCTCACAAGGACTTTCCACATGTGATGCTGTTGGCTACTGGGCCAAAGAAAGAGGTGCTTGGTGTTGAATGGAAGGGTGTAGGGCCAGAAAAATAGGTGGGGGCACAGGTGGGCAAAGCCCACTCGAGATCCAGGAAAGGGGTGGGTCTTCTAGGGAGGTGGCTAGCAAAGCAGGGCCCAGGCATACCTGTAGCGTGCCGTGCCCTTCTCTGTGATGGTGTCACACCACATGGTAAAGCCCACACTCACGATGGTGCTGGCAATGAAGACCAGGAAGACCACAAAGGCACTGACCAGCAGGTTCAGGAAGGCATAGAAGAAGGAGCTGCAGGGGCCAAGAGAAAGATGCTAAGAGAGCCATTCAGGGTCCCACTGCTAGTCGCTCCCCTTGACACAGGGAGAGGACAAATTCCGGGGCTTTCTGGTGAGCACTTGGGGGCCTGATGGGACTGAATGGGGCTTGAAGGGCCTGCGTCCCTCTCCTCTGCTGCCATCCAGGAAATGTTTCAAAGCTGAGCAGCCTGTCTTGTTCTCTCATGGACCCAGAGTCAGGGCCTTGCCACCACTGCTGTACTGGTGAATCAGGGCCAAGACAAGAACCCCAGATCATAAGTCCCAAAGCCTGGGAGCCAGCACACACACTGAAAACACAAGACCCTTTTGAAGGCCACCCATTCACACACACACACACACACACACACACACACACACACACACCTATGGAGGATTTGTGTCCCCTCAAATGCATACGTTGAAACCCCAAAGCCTAAGGTGTGAACACCAGGTCCTCTAATCCCTAAGCAGAGAAGGGTAGAAGATGAGAAGACCCCCCTCTCCCTTCTCCTCTGCTGCCTGAGGGCCAGCCTGGCTCCAAATCACATGCTAACACAGAGAAAGAGGGCTTATGGGAGCCATCACTCCCCCAAACTCTCCAGGGTCACCCGAACCATGGGAGGTCCATAGCACAAAGCATGGCAGTCAATAAAGGAGCCTGCCCATATCCATCTAGCCTGTGGTGGGCTTGATACCAGGTCCAGGCCAGTTGTGCTCAGATTCTAAATAAAGTAGCAGAGAGGCTTCACCCTGGGAAACTAACACATGAGACTGTAAGAAGAGGCTGCCCTGACCTGTCAGCCATGCACCCTGCTGGCTGATGTATTCATTCCACAAGCCTTCTTGACCATATGCCAACCCTGTGCTGGACTCGAGGACCAAAACATAGGAACCATGTAACCCTGACTACCCCAGATAAATAAGCTAAGAGTAACTCAGGTCATGCCACCAACTCACCACCCGTGAGGTGGAACCACCTGATGTCTCCTGGGATCACACGGGGCTTCCTGTGAAGGACACACAATGTTGGTGACTATTGAGCTGGCTGACAGCAACCAGCTCCAGGTGGTCACAGCATCAAGGCTGGGCAAAAAGTGATGACACCCTGCTAGCGCTACATAACCCAGGGCTCTGAAGACCAAGGTTCGGTGGGCAAAGGCCTGCATGGTGTCTCTACTGTCTGTAAGCAGCTATGTGCATTGCCCGCTTACCCTGGGCTCATTGGCTGTGTCTGCTGGTGATCCTCTTGGCCCTGCCCACCTGACACCTATACTGGTGTGTCTTTTTTGCCACCCCCATCCTTGCCCAAAGGCTGACCCTGGAACCAAGGCAGAGCCTGATGTCCACTGCTCTTGTGTGGCTACAGCAGGGAATTGGTGCCTTCTTCTCCCAGCACGGATCAGAGCAAAGACTCGATACACTATGTTCCAGGTAAGGATGGGGAAATAGAAAGGAGAACTTAGCTTCTAGGCTGCCTCAGGCTAGCGTGTTCCTGCAAAAATGCCTGATCTTTTCCACAGGATTCCTAGATCCCCTGACCAAGAGTGGTGGCAAAGACATTGTGGTCCTGTGATGGCTAGGGGTGTGTGTGTGTGTGTGTGTGTGTGTGTGGTTTTTGTTGTTGTTATTGTTGTTTCTGTTTCTTTGTTTTTGTCAACTTGACCCAATCCAGGGTCATCTGGGAAGAGGGAACCTCAACTGAGAAAATGGCTCCACCAAATTGGCCTGTAGGCAAATCTATGGGGCATTTTCTTGATTAATGATGCATATGGAAATCCTAGCCTACTCTAGACACTGCCACCTCTGGGTGGTCCTGGGTTGTATAAAAAGCAGAGAGTGCAGCCAGGCGGTGGCAGTGCTCTCCTTTAATCCCAGCACTCAGGGGGCAGAAGCAGGCAGATCTCTGTGAGTCTGAGACCAGCCTGGTCTACAAGAGCAAGTTCCGGGACAGTCTCCAAAGCCACAAAGAAACCCTGTCTCAAAAAACAAAGACAACAACAACAACAAAACCCAAACAACAACAACAAAAAGCGGATGATGCAAGCCATGGTAACAAATCATTAAGTAGCATTCTTCCATGGCCTTTGCTTCAGTTTCTAGCTCCGTGTTCCTACCTCCCTTCTGATGGATGAACTAAAAGCTGTGAAATGAAATAACCCTGTTCCTCTGAGCCTCGCTTCCTCCCCCGGAGTTAGGTACTAAGAGTCCCTCCCATGAATCACTGGAAACCGGGGGAGCTTGTGTGGGTGAAGGACTGTGAGCAAGCAGCCCGTGCACTCTGGGGTGCTCACTGACCACCCCATCTGTCCCAGGACAGACCTGGACTAAGGCTGGGCTGAGAGGGACCCACTGCCCTCCCAGACCCTCAATGGACTCACCTGCAGCTGTACCCAGGCATAAAGCTGATATTATTGCCAGGAATTTAGGGCGTACACAGTGGGACTAGACAGCTGGAGACTGAAGCTGGGGTACTTCCACGCCCACCCACAAAGAGACAAGGACACCTCAGCCCATGGAACCCTCCTCTCCAGTAGCCTCTGAGTAGAGGATGTCAGGTGCTCACCCAGGGCCCATGTGGCTGTGCTGCCCCCATCAAGGAAAATGAGGTGATCAAGGGCAGCCAGAGCCAAGTCCCCAGAAGCAGAAGCGAGGACACAGGCCTGTCCATGCATAGAAATCCATCTCATGGGACAGCTGAGAACTGAGGACTCTGAACCCCTCCTAGGGAACCTCTGCCCCCCCCCACTGGACAGCCTCCCAAGGTCAGTGCCTGACATTCTGAGCTTGCCTGATAGAGCATCCCAACTGTGGCCTCCCACTGGCCTTTCTGAGGGTTGAGCTGGCCATGGTGCAGAAAGCAAGGTGAGACCACAACCCAGCATCACATCAGGTCTATCTCAGAGGCAGTTGGGCAGAGTCCCGAGATTCCTAGATAGCGTAGGGCATGTATACCTTGCAGCATCTGGCTAGCCCATGTCCCTGAAGTGAGCCCAGCAAAGCAAATCTGAGACACGGGGGCTCTAGCCCAGCCCACCACGATGGGCCACCACCAGCCAGAAGTCTCTAGCTCTTCTAGGTTTTTGTTTTGTTTTGTTTTCGGGTTTTTGTTTTTTGATGTAACATGCTAGACCGTCTGGATCTCTGAAGAACTTGATGTACCCAAAGCCACACCTGGATCCTGTTTCCGAGATTTAGAATGTCACCCTTCCCTGTCCCTGAACACACTCACCAAGGACAGGACCACACAGGCAGTGGGTGGAAAGGGTCAGCACACACAGGGTTAACCCATCTTCCTCTCACTGCATCTCCCTGTGCCCAGCCTTGGATGTGCTGTCTCCATGGCGACAGCTATCCTGGGAAGCCCTGGGAGCAATTTGAAGGCTGAATGCTGAGCGACAGGTGTGAGCAGGCAGATGGGTTACCTTAAGCCAGTGCTCCCTGGTCCGTCACTCAGGGACTGCTTCCAACCCTAGCTCAAAGGGCTGCTCTTGTGCAGAGCTTTAGGCTCATAGCTCCCCTGGGTCCTCCCCTCACCCTGAGGGCACATCCCTGAAACTACAGGTGCCAGGGATCATTCACTGAAATGGTGCACCACCCTCTGCAATGCAGCCCTGGGTCCCTATGTCTGAGCAGCCTGAGCCTGCTTAGCATGGCAAACATACCTTCTAAGCAAAGGTTGGTTCTGTTGCCACAGTATAAGACCCATATGCTCAGCACCAACCAAGAGAGTCCCTGAAGAGGCTACAAGGCAGCCATCACCTCCGTACTGACCGGGAGGTACCTTGGAGGCCTCTGGGGCTGGCACCTAATCTCAGAATCAGAGAGTACCTGGAACATAACCAGGCAAGCCCTCTAAATCCAGGGACTGGCAACCCTGGTGTCTGTCCTCCACAGGCTGGATATTCAGTCGCCCTACAAGACACTATCTGCCACATGAGCTCACTGTAAATTCCCACTCTGCCTCCTCAAGTCACTCATGTTCCCCTCGATGACTGGCCACTACACAGTCTGACTGGCAATTTTTCTGGAATCACCGTGCTCTCTCTCTACAGGTCACCTTATCAGTTGCTAGCATCTCTAGGGGCACTGAAGAGCTGACTCAACTCTTGGCCAAGTCATGAGTCTACAGTCATAATAGAGGCAGCATCATGCCCACAAAATTGCAAGTCTTGTGGTCCAGACATTTTTCTGTCCCTCTGTCCCTCTCCATTGTATGGTGACAATCCCAGAATCATGCATGGTTAAAAATAGGTGAGCACCAAGAACTGAAGCAGAGGACAAGGAACCACAATTGTCCCACAAGAAGGAGTGTGAACTGCCCAGACCTGACCTCTGGTGTGGGTCAAGCCCATGCTAGTTCTCTTCAAAGTGTAAGGTATGCCAAGTCACCTACAGCCTCCTAAATCCCACCATATGCCTCAGCTGACTGGGTGACAAAGACCATGGGACCTGTGTGTACGGTCAGTCAGCCTGAAGCACTCCTCAGGAGGGCAAGTACAACAAAGGAACCCTGGAAAGCTGGAGACTGCAAGCCTAACTTTTCTGATGGGCTTGCAATGGGCACTGCACCAGGCAGATGAACGCCTACAATGACAAAAGGAAGAAGCCGGTGATCCTGGGTCTGCAGCCGAATTGGTACAGAACAGTCCACCCTGTGTAACCACGATTCCCACCTGCAAGCTTGGGGCTCTTCATGTCCTCATCTCAGTCTCTGGTGGACCCACACTTGGTTCTCTCTAGAGAGTCGCCCTCTGGTCCACCTGGCTAGACCACTGCACCATGAGACTGCTCTCTTGCAAGGAAACCCAGAAGGATGCATCGGAGCCATCAAGTCGCAGCCCTATCTTTCCACCAGCCACTGCCGTGTCTCCCGTCTCAGGGTGTTGCCACCTGCCCCAATCTGCACACAGTGAGATGTCTCCCAGTGTGGTGACAAGCACTCTCAAGTTCATCTGGGCAGTGGAAGACTGAGGGCAAGGAAGGGTCTTGAAGAGAGTCAGGGCTCTGTCCTCCAGCTGACATTGCCTCACCCTAGACATAACCCCAGCCTCATAGGCAGGAGTTTGGTCCACACCACTTGGCAGCTCCTAGGCCCATCCCTGGCTTCCAATAGACTCCCGTGGAAAACCTTAGCATAGTGAGTTGAACTGTATTGCCTCAAACCTACATCCAAATCCTAACCGTGGTATCTGTGGACATGGCTGCCTCAGGAGAAGCAGGGGACGGAAAACAGGAAAGAGGCTATTCAGGAACACTGGAATGTTCCTGAATGTGGGCTAAGGAACACACAGGGAGCTGGCTTCCACACATAGGAAGGCTTCCACAGACCAACTCTCAGGACACTTTGATTCTAGACTTTCAGCCTCTGGTGTGGTGAGAATGTAACAGTTTCAAGTTCCTCATCCCTGGTATGCTAGTCCCCTTCACCCAGCCTCCTGCACCCCACAATCATCCTCAGACCCCTGTGCTCACCACACACCTCCCTGCAAGGGTTGGGGGGCTACTAAAAACGTGTGTGAGGTTGAGGGGGGCTGGATCTGGGGATTCCCTCTCCATGCAGGAGCACTGTCACTCCAGGACCCAAGAAGCCTCAGACAGGGAGAGGGTGGGCTCTTGGCTGCTGCTGGCTGGGGACACCAGGTAAAGCACATTCCATTCTGGCTCCAGCAGAGTGACAAAGCAGGAAAGAGTGAAGGAAATCTGAGGTGCTGAGACCACAAAGCAGGACCCTACTCACCCACATCCCCTAAACACACACACACACACACACACACACACACACACACACACACACACACAGTGAGTGCCCCCCCCAAAGACACACACACAGTGCATGCCTTCAACCAAGGCCAGAGTGCCAAGTGTGAGCTTCAGGAACTTCCCAGACACTCTCTATTATCTTCCCAAAGCATGGGCCCTTTCCATTTTCACAGGAGAGAGGTGTAGGCCCAAGACTGTTGCAAGTGGCCCCGGGTTCCCAGGGAGTGTGGCCTAGCTGAGCCAGAGAGTCCAGGCCTGTGGCCATGACACTGCAGCATCTGTACCCCAAGGAGTCGGGCCCGGAAGCTGGACTGATGTTCACTCTAGAAACAGAAGGAGATCGTGAGGGTTGGACAGATGGCCTCATGGCCCCTGGGCCTGTGTGAAGACAAAGGGCAGTCTGCTCGAAAGTAGTGAGGCTGCGTGTTGACACTTGCAGGCCTCTGCATCAGGAGAGGTGGAGGCACTCATGCCCCAGGGAGAGGAAGACCTGGTAGGGAGCCAGGAGGTGCGTGAGTGCGGCATATGTCTGTGCTGGGCTCTGAGAGGCCTCCACTTACCCCTCATGGCCCTTGCAGAGGAAGAAGAGCGTGCGCCATGCGTGCGCAGCAGCCAGCAGCAGCGACAGGAGGCTGGCGAGCAGGCTGAAGCGGCAGGCGGCCGGCGGGCCCCACTCCTGCACGGTGAAGCGCTCCCGCCCTTGCACGGTCAGGTTGGCGCTCAGCCACATACCCTCGGTAAAGAGCAGGCAGCGGCCGCGAAAGTCGTGGCCGTTCTCGGACAGCGGCACCACCACCACGAAGCTGAACAGGAAGGCCAGAAAGTAGCAGACGCACTGGGCGAAGAGAAAATTGTTGAGCGCCATGGCGGTGCCAGGATGAGAGGGGCGG